ATAAAAAATTTGCCACGTAATTATATTCACATACGCCGTGTGGTTTGCCTTGTGCAATATGGATAGGAAAATCTGGGAGAGGTCTTGGCTAGATACTTTTCTTGGTACTGTCGATCATTCTCGAAATAACGGAGTTCATCAAGAGGGTCTTGGCTTGCTGGTGAAGACTGGCTGGCAGCGAGCTCTACTCATAAAGGAATGATAATGAGCGCCGATCGGCTCCTAATTAACTAATAACAAGGCGACGCGCGTTTTTCGTAATGTTACGGTAACCCGGGTTTTTGTAGCGGGAGTCACGTGGTGCGCTCATTGTATACCGGTTGGTATGTATGTATGCTGAAACAAAAAATATGTTGCTTTAGACAAACAGCTTTGGAGTTATGAATTATTGCAGACGGGTCTCTATTGTCTGTGTTAGAGGTTATTGTGTAATTTGTGTATGTACGTTTGGATATGTATCTCTGTACGGGACTGTTTGTCATTGTTCTGTGTATGTATACGCTGGATAAATATTTATCTATGTAAATATTGTCTGCATTCTGAAGTCTGAATTCGACCGGTTGCCTCCCTGAAAGTCAATATCCTTCGTGGCTTTTGTTGGCGAACCTTTCTCTCGTTGAGATGCATAAACCCGCGAAAGTCAAGAAAATCGTCGCAACGGATTTTACAGATGCTTCGTTACCGCGCGAAATTGCGTCGTCTTGAGCGTAGATGGTATTCGGGACGTTGAAAATTCATCGGCGAGTTTCCCGTCTAGCGTTGGGATATCTTGGGGTTTGGGTAAGAAACAAATGAATCCTTTCGGGTATATTGGATTTGTGCATTTATATGTATATCGGGTATAGTTGGATTTTATACAGCAGGTATACCGTGGGACGGAGGAGTTGTGTAAATGTGGAAAAAATATTAGTAAATGTGTCGCACGTGGTTAACGCTCGGAATTATGTGCGTGCGCGAACCGTTTCGTGATTCAGTGCATTCTCCTGTAGGCCAGGGACGAGAGTACAAGCCAATCGGTTTCCACGGCTCGTTTTCTTTTTTCTATATTTATTTCACTGGTGATACAATAGAGACGCAGTCACCGTGCGACGCCTTGAGGAACTATGGAAATGCCGGAGTACGCGAGAGTCTTGAAAAATATATAGGGTGGGTCGGATGGAAATGATTTTTGGGTTTATACCTTGTTACGTGTCAATTTTGTGAGTCGATTGGAGTTTTAGAGCGAATTTCGGATCTTTTTTTTCTTATGACTTTATTTTATTAAGCTTTGGAAATTCGCGGAATTGTTCGGCTCTGCTTTGTTCGATGTGCAATTGTGGACTCACCTGAAGTGAGGTAAACGACGGGATTCTTCATAGATTACGTAACGAGCCTGGTAACCCCATCGGTAACCGAGTGCCAATTACGTCATTATGTCGTGAAGCAAGTTAGTTGACTCTGCTGGCCACGGAAAAGCCTTGTGGCGCCACTAGCGCTCTTGCCCGGTAAGGTATTATAGAAACGTGTATTCTAATCCTGCGATGCATCATGGGAAACAACGTGTCAAGCGGTGGCGCCGCCACCAGTGTGTCTAACGTACTATCAGGGTCTTGTAGTGTATTCGTGCTAATTTCTAACGTGTCTCATTTCAAATAAGACATTTGGAGTTATCGCGTCCGAAAGCAAATTCCCCGCTGGTTTTCTTGTCGAAATGTAGCAATATAAGATACCATTTTGAGACTCTGTCTTTCTTCGTGTCTTGGGGATACTCATAATTCATGGAATACTCTGGGCTTAAATCCCTTGTACTCCGCAACCGGAGATTTACGTGGGGACGTTGTAGTTGAACTCCTTATATGCGAATACCTGGTAGTACGTCAGACACACTAGTGGCGGCGCCACTGTTTCACAAATTTCCCACGATGCAATGCTGGATCGAAATTCCTGTTTCTATAATACCCTGTAGCTCGCCTGTCGATATTTATCAAAGCGATGCGTCGTCGTCATTCGTTTTACTTTGTCTATGGACATTGAAGTATCGTTTCTCGTAAATTTTTTGAGGTTACGTATCCGGTCTTGACCTTTCGCGTGTATCGGTAATTGATTATCGCTATAGGTGTGCTTTTACTAGATACAAATTTTATGTATAACAATGGCCTTTCGTACGTACGATTAAATCGCTATTTTTAACGCTTCTCACAGATCTCTCTCGATTTTTAACGCACGATTCGTGTCTCGTGTTTTATTTTCGTGTTTCTTTCCACTTTGTTCTTTTCTTTAACTGTCTCTCCAGTTGACCCCCTCTATTCATAGCATTCGCCTATTTCATGCCGAATAAGACTCCGTTATTCTAGGGGGACGAGGG